ACATCCTTCTTGTTGGGGGTCGCCGGCAGGGACTTGGCCACCAACGGTGTTCCAGGATTGCGGCGAAGAGCATGAAGCGGTGTGTCCTGCTGAAGCTGAGCCCATTTGGCAAAGCGCTCGAGCCTCCATCCCACGGGGCCTTCCTCCATGGATTGGATGGCCCACGTCACGTACTGGCGGTCCTCCACGTAGACCTGCTGGAACGTCTTGGTGCTGTACCGGCCGAAGCCCATGAGGTCGTGGCTTGTTGGCGGTGCCCGTCGCGCCAGGACACCCTCGGCTCGCACCTTCAGCTGCTCCACCGTCTCGTTCCCGGTGATGTTCATCTCCAGGACCTCGCGGCAGAACTGCTGCAGGGTTCCCTTGGTCTTGCCCGCCTTCACCATCTGCTTCCGTAGCTGCCCCTCCTCGGACAGGGGCATCCCCATCTCGTTCAGCACCTCGCCCGGGCCTTCCTCGGCCTCGATCTCCTGGAGGCGAAGCAGGATCTGCTCGCGGTTCCACGACGGTGGGGCCTCCTCGCCGTAGTCCGCCAGCTTCTCCACCAGGTGGTCCTTCTTCAAGTACGGCATGGCCTGAAGTAGAGGGAGGTGCGTCGGGGGCGCTAGGTTCACTGCTTCCTGGCCAGCTTCGATCTGGCGGGACCATATCATGGCCGCGGAAAAGGTCGTTGCAAATCATCACACTGTCTCTAGAATCATACTCAATAATAGTTTTATCAGGTTTCGATCTCAACACAGACAAAAAGTCAACTACTCTACCGGCATCTGTTGGGCAGATCACTCTACCCTCCTGGAACTCTTTGCCCTTTCCATTCTGTTCCGGGAGGAGTTGTCCCTAGACATCGAGGAGTGATCGGAAGCCGGCGGCTCGCTCCTTGGCGTCCTTAAAGGCATCTTGCACTAATGGAAAAAGTTGATGTCCTGACTCAGCCCGCTCCAAGGAGAGGATCTTGCGGTCGTTGACCTTGGTGAAGATCACCTCGTCGCGGGCGTAGTCAATCACCGCGCCCAGGGCGCGCAAAGCCTTGATGCTGAACAGGACCGGTTGGCCGGGCACATCATGAACGGCGACCTGCATGTTGCCGTCGTGACCATCGAGGGGAATCGTCAGCTTCGTGTTGGAGGCGCATGCCACTCGACCATTGTTGCCGAAGCGGAAGCTCGGGGCCTCGCCGGGTAGAACCTCGACGTTGTCACGACCTTGCTTTGCCCAGCCAAGCTCGCGGACGCGCTCCACAGCTTGGATGGAGCCCACACTTGATGTGGCTCCGCCGTCAATGATGGCCTTCCCCTCGAGAAGGGCCCCGGACATCGTGGGACCTCCAGGTCCACTGGTGAGGGCCTCCTCAGCGATGAAGACCAGGTGCACTGTCCCGTTCTTGTTGCCATCTGAACTGCCTGGCTGCGAGCACTGGCGGGTCCAATGCTTTCCCCCGCAGCGCAGGCACTTGGGAGCAAGCCCTTTTCCTTCGCCTTTGGTGGAACTTGTAGGGCGTGTAGGGAAGAACTTCCGGTTCTGCCTCATCTGTTGCTGCTTCTCCCGGGCCTGGCGTAGCGTATTCTTTTGCCACTGTAGGGCCTGGTAGGCCTCCTGCACCTCGGCTTCCAAGGCCTGGTACTCGTGGGCCTCATCGTCCGCCAAGAGGGCCTGGTGGATGTCCTCGTCATCCTGTTCCATGCCCCAGAGTGCAGCCTCGCCCTCGTCGTCCTCGTTGGCCAGTAGCGCTGAGGAGCGTCCCGTGTCACGGCGCTTGAGCTCCTCATCCGGCCAATTGAGTCGTAGCACTTCCTTCACCTTCTCGGTAGTGAACTGATTCTTCAGATTCGCGATCAGTGCTCCTTTCTCGTTCTGGTCAAGACCAGAACGTTGGAGGAGCATCCATGCCACGACAAAGTCGGGGAGGAAGTGGTAGGCTGCCACGTCCGCCGAGTCCACGGATTCTGCCCACCGGCCTGACGTCGTAGGCCAGGACTGCTGGGACTCGCTCCAGCTGCCTTGCCACCATTGTCCCTCCCCGGTGGAGGACCAGGCTTGGTCGTCCCACCAGCCATTCTGGCTCCACGGCTCCTCGGTC